CGCCACTGCTGTTACGCGTTCACATGACGTGTGCATTACTAATTCATATGTTTCATAACCGTTATCGTGTTTTTGGGGGCGGAGGAGCATCCCGGGTCTCGATTCCCCAGAAAAAAAAAAAAAAATTTAAAAAATCATAAATAGCTTATAATATATACAGTGAAAGAGAATATTAAGTTATATCATGTGGTCGACAATAACTCTTCATTTGTATTTATAATAATAATAAAATAATATAGTTATTGATTCATGCCTTATAAGTATTTTTTATAATATTAAAAAATCATTAATCATTAATTAAATGTTTTAGAAAAATATAAACAACTTCCCAAAAAAAAAAATTATTTTCTTGTGAAATAAATACATATGAAATAAATGATCGAAAAATTATTAAATTCCGCTCCCCTCTGAAAAAATGTGTAGGCACACCCTTTAGTATACAAATATAGTATAAGATATAATATACATTAGTATTAAATAAAAGTAGCGACTACTTGTTCGGCTCGTCGCTATGCAAATCGTGCGAAATCGGGATCAAATATAGGGTTTATTTTCATAGTTGAATTTATTATATAATTAGATAGGTTAAACGTTATTATTATTATATCGAGTTGTAGGTTAAAATTTGTAATCATTTTTGAAAATATATATATATATATATATATGATTTTGTGTTTTTGTAATATTTTATTAAACAAAATTGTTTCAATTATTAGCTGATTTATACAGTGATGTGTTTTCTATATTTTAGGTTTAATAACATTTTTTTGACCAAAAATCTTGAATTGATTTTTAACTTCAATAACTTTTCCAAGAGCAAAGAGAACACAAATCGTACCATGGATAGTTGAAACATAAAATTTTCCAGTGCTTTTTTTTTTTTTTTGATGTGTTTCGTATTGAAACGACCAAACCTGCAAACGAACTACGCGCAATGTACGTTTCTCCACGGTTTCGAAAATCGTGTGTACCCGAACCTACTCTAATGTTACGACAGTTGTATGGAAAAACGTGTCCAGCGATCTACCGTGATGGTTTCCGATGTTTTTGATTTCCCGCGCGTTTATTGCGCTGGAAAATAATAGCCCGTGCGAACACGGTCGTACGTCCACAGTCCGCGACACCAACGATAATGATAGCAGTAATTCTTAAGCGGTTGCAATTGCCTCCGACTGTTTATCGGAAACAGTTTAAAATAATAATTACATATATTCGAATGGTGATGCGAAATGTAATCCAAACCATTATTTTCGTACCGACCGCCGCGTCTTGGAATGTAAAACGGCATTTAAATGTAAATATTCTCGTAAAGTGAAATATTTTCACTGCAACAGGTATAATGGCGATGTCGTGCAAGGTTACGAAATTAAAAATAAAAAAAGATTAATTAAAAAAATGTCAAACATTGTTGAATACTAACATGTGTATTGTGTACATCTACTCGTAACGTACATTGTGTGTACCCGTCAAATATTTATTTATGTGCTCGCACCGGAATTCTGTACAAATACTAAACTACACATAACGGTATTGTAATTTAATAGTTACATTTCGCGTACGGATATGGTTTTAAATGTATTGTTGACATAATCGATTCAATAGAGTTTTTACCATTTAATGATAATTCGTATGGTTAGAACATTATATAGTGCGTAATTGTATAGTTAACGAAAACTCATCTAAAAAATATAATATTATTTTACCAAAAAGAGATATATCACTATTTTATAACCTTGCATTTAACATAACTTAATGGGTTTCAACAGGAGTGTTTAATAATTTGTTATTATTGTTATTAAAGTATGTGGAGTATGTAGAGAGGATAAAATATTGTTTGTTATACAATTTGTGTAACATACCTAGTTGAAATATTTATGATTCATCATATCAAACACATAAGTAATATGAATAGTGAGGAATTCCACTACAAAATTAACTCATCTAGTTGTATAAAAATAGAAGCCTACACAAAAAGTTAAAACTTTATATTTTTCTCTTACAAAAAAAAAAAAAAAATCTTAAACCTGCTTACGATTGATCATAAAATTATCATTAGTTTAATATTGGATTTGCATGGCATACGTATCGGTTTTTCAGATTTCCAACCCAATTGAATGTATTTTTACCACTTAATAATAATTTACTATTTGTATGAACATACAAGGGATTACAGTTCCTACAGATATTATGCATAGCGTACTAATACTCATTTATCAAAGAATTATTCTGTACATAATGATACATGTTTACAGATACACCAATAATATTATTATAGTTATTAATCTATATATATATATATATATGAGTACTTAATAAAATACAAATAAAACCCTTTTACTGTTAAATGTACAAACCAATTTTTCTGTATATTTAAATACATTTTTGTAAATATTTTAAATTTATAGTTTTACTGATATTTATACTTGTGATCAGATTTTAGAATTTTTGAGAATTTTTAATTAATTGAACGATATTTTTTTTTTTCCTAAAATGTATACATAACTTAAACAAATAAAATAAAAAAATTTTAAATATTATTTTTGGTTCAGTAAATATAGAGTATTATTAAATACATTTAAAGATCTAAAAATGAAACATACATAGTCTATATAATTCTCACTTGTTAATTTTAAAAAAAATTAACACCAATATTTATTAAAACCTTACATTTGATTTTATAAATAAACATGTGTAATAAGTTTTTAATAAAACTGCAGTACCGCTGGCGGTTCCTTTTATAAAATTAAAATTAATTGTGAACAATATACTTTAATAATCTATTGATCACATGGTGTTGATAAAAAAATGTTGAACACTAAAAAGAAATATTACGTATATCACATACGGTTTAATCAAAATCACTTTTCACATTGTTCTGAGAACGTATTCGAACACTTATTGAAAAGCGGCAAAACATCTTACATGACAGCTGAAAATACAATTCTTTTATTTTTGGAATAATTTAATTTAAAACTTCTTTTAAAATCGTAAATTTTTACACTAAAATACGTGACTTGTATAAATAGAAAAATTCTATTGAAAATCTATGCCCTATTCTTAAATTGAACAATATTCATATTTCCAACGTTATTTAAATGCATTCGTATAAACGAATTCTGTTTGAATATTTTCAACAATAGATTTCCCATACGAAATATTCTCCAGTCTCTGACAAAAAAAAAAAAAATAAAGGAATATACGAATATATGTTTAACTGATTACTGTTATAGATTCAATTATTCAATTTTTAATTTTTTTTTAGTACCTGTTATTGTCTTGAAACATTTTCCAATGGTTATTTTTCATTGTTTTTGTAATTCTAAACTATATTTCATTAACTGTTTGCGTTCACTACAAGATTATTATATTTTCCTATGAAGTAAAACGTATCACAGCTATAATAAGGTTTTATTGCGGTCATCGCACATCCTCATTTCCTCGTTTAATTAACAAACTCCGCGTCAATTAACAAATCGAATCTTGCTACATTATGATCAAAAGAAAAATAATATTTTTAGGTATTTTTTCTAACTGATTAACTATTAATTATAAGATGTATATAAATATACGAGTATCATATGAAGTAAAGTATTTCATCATCAAATTATTTTCATCTAACATATTTATTTATTTATTGAATAATATATTTATTGGTTATTAATATTTTTACGCTATTCAATTTTGTTCGTAAACGATTACTTAATTGGACATTATTAACTGTGTAATTCTTCATGAATTAATTATTTTAACATCGTTTCACATATGATGATTTGAAAATCTAATTCTTGGAAATAACGATAACGATGTATATTAACAAATAGGATATGACATATACAAATTTGTATTATTATAGTAATTGTAATTAGTTGTAATAATTTGTTATTTGACATATAATATAAAAGCTTCAACATTTTAATTGAAAACTTAATTTTATATAATATGTTATATTAAACGTTTTCACGCGTGTAAATTAATTTTAAATGTGTACAAAATGGAAAAAAAGTATTATACATTTTTCATTATTGTCGATTTGCTATTATTAAAAATACTCCCGACTTAGGAAAGAAAATTATAATGCATGACAGAACTTCAAAACACTTTTATTAGATTTTATTTTATTTATAAATGGGTGTATTATTATTATATTTCAAATGTATTATAAACTGTTATATTATATATTAAAAAATACTGACGCTGTACACATATGTACAATATAAATCATAGTTTGATGGAGTAATAAAATATATATAATTTCAAATCTCTTTAAAATATAGAGAGGTGTATTAATTTTACGAAACTTCAATTCTAAAATACTTATTTATTATAAACTTATATAAAATTGAAATAAAATTGTTGAATATACAATAATTTTCTCAAAACTGAAAATATAATAATATTATGGATTCATCTCCGTATTTATACATTGTACGTTTATTTTAATTAGTCATTAACCTGGTTATTCCTTGGTGTAATCTAAATGAATACTTAATGCTAGTGTTCCGCATGAAATATAATTTAGTTAGTAATTTAAATTATATACTGTCCAAGCCTTGGCAAGAGAGAAGGTGATCGTTGTATATGACCCTAATGCAATAACTGGTATAAAAATAAAAAATGTGTCTTATGATAAAAATTACACTAATCTATATTTATATTGTTTTTTAACATATCACATTAACTGGATTTGAGCTATTTGATAAAAATGTACTCGCATTGTTATAAAGTGGACTTAGAAATAATACATTTTTAAATAAAACACGTAGATACTAGGAAATGTCTACGTGACTTATATAATTTTACTATTTTGAAATAATTATATTTTCTTTTCGTGTACGATAATATTATATTATTTGATCACCTAGTGTTTTTATTAGTATTTTGTAAATAAAATATTCGTGGATAGTATAATTTACGTTTTACATTCACGAAATCATTATTAAAACGGTTATTTTTTTTTTTGCTCTAATTCCTGACTTCGTTGTTTATGCTATGATTTACAGGCGATATTGCAACTTCTGGAATGGATCGTGGTTATTTTGGGCCGTGGCAGATGTGCAAACAATCGTATTACGGCCGAACAAAGTGCGGAGACTCGATATCCAGGTTTCATCCTGTTGGTAAGCACCGACAACGTGTTGTTGTAGTGGTTTCCTATCATACGCGAGTTGTGGAATTCTCGCCGATGAAGTATTTTAATAACCGTTGTTTGGTGTTTGTCGACAGAAACGGTAAGGATAGCCGGATATTTTGCCATCACGGGCACGCTGAGCCTGGCGATATTTTGCATCCTGAGCATAGTGCAATTGGCCATGGTGGTATCCAAGGAAAAAGTTGTAATTGCCTACAGCAAAACCGTGGTCACCAAGCTGGTGTTCGCATTCGCAGCAAGTAAATATACCAAGCGGACATTATTATTTTTGTTAACTTATCTTGTACTCAAAGACATAGACGTGTGTGGTAATCTCGCACCATAATGTATTCGTCGACGCGAACTAATCCGTTGTCTTTCTTGTGTGCAGCTCTGTTGGCGATCATCGCAGCTGGTTTATTCGCTCTGCAGACAGACGACAAAGATAACAGCTACCAGGTGACCAGGGGAGAATCGTTCTATATGCAGGTACACAAATCAACTAATTGCAAACATTTCAATACGCTCTGCTATACACGTGTTCGTGCAGTTGAAGCAACTGTACGATAAATATCTAGGAGAAAAATAAAAACTCAATACTCGTATATGTATTATATTACCATAACCTGATTCGTAAAAACAATCCCATTATTATTTATATTCAACCTTTTATTAAGTTTATATATATATGTTAATAGATACTATGTACGTTAGCATTATTATTGGTACAATAATAGAAAATATACGATTACGTATTAAAATAAATATACCCCAGGCTAATCAATCCAACATAATAAAAATTAATTTTATGAAATTTACATTTTTGCTGTAATGTGCGAACAAAGATAAATTAAAAAAAAAATAAATAAATGAAATTTACTAATTGAAAACTATTCGTATATTATATATTTTTTCAACGTAGTATATATATTTACAATATACTCGTAAGTTGTAGATTTTTATTCGTTAATCGAATAGCTTACTTACGTGTTTAGTCACCGTAAGAAAACATCTATTTATCATATGAATAAAAATAATATTATATGAAATATTATATGAATAAAATAAGCATTTTCTTTTTTAAAAATGTTCTCAAAATGTTTATTACATTTAATCAGTTACGTTTTATTTGTATAACTAATTAACTGTTCGAATACTTGATTTGATAAAATATAATGCTATCACAATAAAAAAATTATTTTTTTTTTTTGAGTTTAAATTATATGTATCAATACTTATATTTTCATAAAATAACGGTTTTTCACACAATTTAAATGTTTTTAAAAATAGAACATTAATTTCTTCAATGTCTCTCAAATATTAATTACTATTCCAATACCTTTAATGTATATTGTTGATATCATTCAATGTTTTTTTTCTGTTTGAATATGATATCTTGGCAAACACATGACGAAAATAAATATAAGCATATAATTTTATTACAATTTTATTTATTAATGCCATCCAGCTATTTAATTCCTAGTTTTCACTGTTCGGTTAGAGCTAATTAAAACGGTATTAGTGGGAAACCATAAAATATAATATAAATACATATAATGTCTTATAAATTTACTATGCATTGTTCTTCAAGGAATTTTACCACGAAGAACGGTTTTATTTAATGTCCTAAATAGAACGAGATCTTTTTACAAGCTTCAAATTCAACATTAACATTTGTGTGTACACAGTATATTATTGCTGTTGTTCAAATTGCCTTTCTAATCTTACTCGTTCTTTTATTACTTCATATTTATATACATTATACACATCAATAATGGTATGAATACCGGTATAAAAGTGTGTAAGTAATAAACACAATACCTTAATTGTTATTTTTTTTTTTTTTTTTTTTTATGAGAACAGATGAACCCCAAACATTATCTTTTGTTGAAAACATGATATATTTTACAGTTTGTATATAATTAACTGACAACATTTTTACTTCACAGATTGGTTTAATTGTACTGAACTTTTTACTATTCGTGGCTGCAATATATGATTTGATATTTTCTCGTCGCCTGGGCGGTGACCCGACCATCAGTCATCGAGATCCGTCTGGTGTCGAAGCCACCACATTCAATAACCCTGCTTTCAAAGAGAAAAGGTCAATGAATCCGAGTGAGTAAATTATAATGTATTATCATGAAATGTATCTTTTCGAAACATATGTTTTCCTAATGGTGTTTTTTTTTTTCTAACAATTTTAACAATAAATATTAAATTATACGTATGGAGATTACGCATCGACACTCGTAAAATGTTTTCATCTACTTTCAAAGCGAAGACAACAAATGTGTTTTGAGGTAGTTGACTAATGCATTTTTATCAATTATTATATCACGATTACTTCATGCGTGTGGTATATCACCACACTGCTTAACATTTTCTATTTTTTTTTTCCTATTGATATTACTTACCTTTTTCGAAACTGAACAACGAAAACTTTAATTTTTTAACATAAAATACAATTAAAATTCACAATATATTGTTTTACTGTACACCAAAACAGATGTGAGAGCACACGCATTTTTAATTGATGTAAAATTATTTAATAAATTAAGGAAAGAAAAACATAACCCACTTATTTAGAATATCACGTCATTTTTATTGATAAAAATATCAAATTATTTTGATACATTTTACATATGCATACATTAAAATTTAATAATTTTAACTACATTGTTTCTCAAACGTCAAAAATAAATAAATTCATATTCCGTTATTGTGAGAAAAATTGAACGAATATCATTGAATACCTTTATCTTACCAAATCACCCGTCAACGACCATCGAAGCCCGAGTTGTAATACTACATTTTTTAACAAAATTATAAAACTTGAATTAAGATTTTGAAAGTCGGCTTCTGAGATTTCTGACGTATGTGTAGTAGTTCCTTTGGGATCAACTGCTACATGCTGAGTATGCGTGTATATTATGAGATTTAAGCACATGGACGTGTCTAGAATTTGTATACAGATGTGACCAACAATAATACAACGGAAGATACGTGATGACCGGGAGATAAGAAATTACAACAATGAAAAAGTCACTTTTTAGCGCTTTAGAATGCACTTGGAAACACTAAAATAAGTACTACAATAAGAAAATATTTGGAGTACGATTTTCACTCGGCTCTGAAAGAATTTCAACTAACATAAATATGCAGACCAATCAAGTTCAAATAAAAGGTCGTGTCCATACTATGAATCCGATGATGAGTAGCAATGCAATGACTATGATGTTAAAAATAAATAAATTATTAAAAACAAATGGAATGTCCGATGTGATCGGAATTGACAATCAAATAGGATCGTCTTTATCATCAGTACCGGCCCGATAAATTTTATGGCTCGGTGCAAAATTTTGTAGGGTCCTTCATATATTTATTTTATTTACTCTATGTTTTTATATAATTTTATTAACCTTACGATCTTTGGTACAGTCTTGATTTTTGTAGATTACAACAATAAATACCCCTTTCCAGCGTTAATATTATTATGAGATTATTTGTGGATAAATTTATATTCATGATACATAGCATGCTGAATCCGGTGCAACAGCAATACTTCCCCTCCCCACAGGACCGGCACTGTTTATCTCATTCGATAAATTTCCAATTCAAACTTTACATCTAAGAGTTCTGCGAGGGGTTTTTTCGCGGGTATTGCCCCCCACGTCCATTAACAATCGTCTGTGACCGAACACAATGCCTTTCATCGTCTATGCCACACGACGGTCGAAAATCCTTCGTGCATCTTTCGATTCCGATCGAGATAATTGATATTTTCGCTGGGTTTCAGGAGGAGGTGGTGGTAGCGGCGGCAAGATATCGGTGACGGACGCCAGCGGCAAACCGTACCTGAGCGGCGCGACCAACGGCAGCACGATGTCGATGACCACCACGTTGAGCTCGAACGGGTCGTCCATCACACCGGTGATCCGCAGCCCTCTGCGGTCGAGCCTGAAAAAACCTCGACCGACCAACGGGACCGGCGGCGGTGGCGGCGGCAACGGGCTGGGCATTCAGAATCCCGGGTTCAGCGGCACGTCGCCCACCCTGTCGCGCAACGGCAGCGTGAAAAAGGTCCGCATACAGACGCAGAGCACGGCCGTGTGAACGCAACCGCGGCCGAGTGTTGCGACTTGAGCGATTACGACCGCGTAACCGGTAAACGGTTACCCGTCCAACCGCCGTAATCGATCGAATCCGCCGCGACCGGTCGCCGAGAAATCCGTGTACGCGGTTCTCGTCGAACGTTTTCCACCTCGGGGTTCTCATCACGCGATCTGTCACCGCTACAGTAATGATAATAATTATCAATACATAATATCGTATCAATATAATATACAATATAATTGTTAACGATAATTACGACGATAATAATTACAAGGCGTATTGTCGCTACGATAACAATACGCACACGCACGCGCGCATTTGAATAGGAAAAAATAAAACATAAAATTACGGCACTCGCGAACGCGCCGATACGCTCGCACGCACATTTTCTTATTTGCACGCACCGGTTTTTATTATTGTTATTATTATTATTATTATTATTATTATTATTATTATTATTTTTATTATTATTATTATTATTATTTTGTTTCGTTAGTCGTATTATCGATAGTTTGTTATTTAATCAAAAAAATTGTTTTTGGTTAATTTTTTTTTTTTTTACACCTAAAATATTACATGTGTATAATAAGTATATATATACGAACGTGCGTGTGTACGTGTATGCGTGTAGTTTTGTAAAAATGTTGGTCCGAAGAATTAGTGCGGTGTAAAAAAAATATATTATAACATCTAAGACTATTTTTAACATACATTTTATTTCTCTTCACTTGAATTCTTCCAGAATAACCGTTTCGTTACTTTTCGCCTTTATTTCAGTCTTTATTCATTCTTTATTTCAGGGTTTTTTGTTGTTTCATTTCGTTTTTATTTACTTAAGAAATTATGACTTGACAAGACAGATGTATCGTTTTATGGACACGCACCACTGCAGCACTCTTCTCTGCGTTTTCGTAACGTCCGTACTCGCAAACGTGCAAGACACGTTTAACGTTACGGACATATTGTTTAGTTAAGTTTCCTTCGAGAAAACATCATATGTGAATTACAAAAAGAAAATCTTTTCACGTTTTCATCGAAGCACTTTTATAATCTTTTAAATTGATAACACTTATTTGTATTCGTGTACCATTTGCCACGCATAATACTTCGTTTCAATAAGTTCTCAAATATTGTACTTGGCGTATGAATCAATTGAAACATTTAAACAGTATAAATTGCACACATGTATATATTTTATGTATAATAATAATAAAAATAATTATATAAATGTAATGTTATGTTATAAACGTCCTATCGAATAGGATAAAACTTCAATGAGTTCAACTTATAATGTTACTGTAGTGTATTTTGCGATTTAATGACATACATATAATTATATTATTATAATATGTCATCGTCTAAATAAAAGTAAATAGATCTCGCATAGTGATGTATTTTATATTTTTTTTTATCCTTGTACACAATCAAAAAAAAAAATATATATATATATATATAAAAATGTTAATATGAAACCACAACAAATTAATAATTATAAAAATATTACCTTGACACGAAACTTTGTTTAAAATAAAATAAAATATAAATAAACTATTTTTTATTGAATAACAAAACATTTTCAGCAATTTTCAAATTACTTCTTTTTACACTTTGTAACATATGTATACTTACTGATACTTAAATTTCGTACTAAATGTATTCAACATTTACATTTACACATTAACTTTAAGTAGTTTACCATTAAATTATAATTGTATATGTGTCATATTCACTATATTCCAATATTCTTTTATGATAACAAAATAAGATAAGCGACTTATGTTTATTATTTTTGTCATCATTTTGACGGGGTAATATTTTCTTTAAACTATTTTTTTGGTTCGCAGTCAGCTCACCAATTTCAATAACACAATAATTAATTAAAAATTCTCGTGAGATTTCTATATATATAATTTAATAATATTTAAATAAACATTCATTTTATTATAAATTTCAGTATTTCAATAGTTATCAATTTTTACAAAAAATGTGTTTATTCATTATTGCTTTGTTATATTATCAGTTCTTTATTAGAATTGTTTAGCTTTAACAGTATAATCGTGATTTATGAAAGATTAACTTAATATGTCGCATGAACAAATTTAAAGAATTAGCGAAATACTTAGGTACTGAGAAACCTAAAAAATAATTTTTGTAAAATACCTATATTTATAATAAGTTACATGTATATTGAATTTATCATTAAGATAACTATTCAATTTTGTAATCACTTTTATAATTAAATCACAAATTTTGTAAGTTATATAAGCTAATAGATAATTGAAGTCAGGTGCATTCGAGTTCTCATATTGAGGTCATATATAGTAGTAACCATTAAAAGTTATTGGAAAATTTGTTACTTTTATAACGATTAAATTATAATGAGATTTATGAAAAAACAATTAACGTTAAAATGTATTTATTTTTTTCTAATTATAATTTATATTCAAGAAATATGTATACCGTCCATGTATGAGCAATTACAAAAGTAGGAATTTGTGATCTGTTTACAGAGTGATTTGAGCGTGCAATAAATTGTTGATTGAATGTTATATAAAATTATTTTACAATATTGTTATCAATATAAATATCGGCTTATTGAATAAGTTTTAAGTTTTTTTTTTTGTTACGATTACGATTTCTTTTCTAATTAAAAATTTTATTTTATTGTATTATTAATAACTATACGAAATACTAATTGTTTTTTATTCATTATTTATTATAGTTCAAATGTATTATAAACTGTTATATTATATATTATAAAATACTGTCGCTGTACACAATTACTATTATGTAATATTATGTACAGTATAAACCATAGTTTGATGAAGTAATAAAATATTTATAATTTCATTTCTGTATACATTATATTTGTTTAAACTTATCACTTACACCTGCTTAGCACTTCTGTGAGATAAAATTACTGAACCTAACACTTACGATTTGTTAAAATACTTTTGGGATACCACCTTAAGAATAATGATAACATTTGGTTATTTCCTTATTTGTTATTAAAACCTATGAAAAAAATTGTAATTGTTAATTTCAATCTGAAATAAACTACGTAGAACACATTATTTTTCAGTTTTTTTCGTTCAAACAAAAAAAACACATTTAATGCTTTATGCTGAATTTTATGAGATTAGAAATTGGACACAAAAAGAAGTTAGAAAGACTGTTATAGAACTATCTTCAAAGTTACTAGTTTCCTTAAGCGTATACAAATATGTGTAACTTTTGTTTTTAAGATTTGAAATTTGAATATGCGATTAATTTTAGTTAGAAGAAAGTATTTCTAAAATATCCGTAATTCTTTAATAAACTATGTCAACTTGATAAATCAATATTCAAGATATTATGATTTATACCTATATGTAATAATTTTAAAAATAACATACTTACATTTATTTTTAGAATCTATGTTCTACTTTTGATTCATTAAATGTCTAATGCACCTTTTGTTCATATATCGTTAATAACAATAGTACCATACTAATTTATTATATTTATTTTCAACCAAGTACATAATCTTTGAATTTACAATAACGTGCATGTTAACACAAACATTTAATCCGTTTCTGCTTTCAAATAATACATTAATCATTATATCATGAACTGTTAACTTTTAAATTACTATTTGAACTTATGTATCCACTATAATATGTATATTATACATACATGTATTCATAACTAAATTATTGAACATATTCTATTTAGTTATATTATAATATATTAATGTAAAGTAGTTACACAAAAATATTTCAAATAACTTAAAATCAATACAATGTAAACTGTAAATTACTATAAACAAGAAAAAAAGAGAAAAATATTATAAAACCTGTAGTAAACATAAATGTGGACTCTTATATTGAAAAAAAATCTAATTAGTATATTATGCGTCTGGTCGTAAGAATTGTTGCATTTTAAGCTTTCTTGTAATTTAACGAAACTGGAATAATATTACGAGATAAGTTGTACAATGGTCTGAAAATGTCAATAAATATGTATTGCATGTATTTAGATTAGAAAGAAAAAGCAATTAATAATTATATAATTATTAACTATATCACGACTTAACTTAATTTAACCTTAATCATAATATTAAGTAGAGCCCCACTCTCATATTTTTCAAAATTCTAATGCCAAGTGTATACGTTCAGTGTTGATGTTATGCATGTAAACAACTTTTTCGCAGTCATCAGAAATTTGCTTTAAAAAATATAATGCAACTGTTTTTGCTAGTTAATATCTTTTAATATGAAAATATCTAATTCTCACACTTAAGTGGTTAAAATTAAATATTAAAAATGCTAGTTTATGTATAGTGACATTTCTATGCGCTTAATTATCGCTAATTATTGCTTTTGAAATATGATAATAGTTTAAAATATGGTATTTACGATAGCAGGTAAATATTTATCGATTATTGTATAATGTAACATATTTTTATATCAAAGAATAATTAATCCGTGAAATTTATATAGCTGTACTTGGTAGAAAATAAAATTTCCATAAATTATCTCTAATATTATCTGAATGGCGATAAATAACATATTAAAATATTTCATGAAGGTAAAACTCAACATAGTAGCAAGTTATTTCAAAACAATTAAATTAATTTTTAAATGATACAATTATATAATAAGTATGTAAATGATAAATTACATTTAAAATAAAAGATCTACATTACAAAAATAAAAAATAAATGTCACAAAATTGTTGTAAGAAACATTATTAACATACACAACTTTTAAACTAAGTATAAACAATTTTCATTAAAATTCTAGATATTGAAAAAAATATAACTTACAGATAAGATAAGATGTGTATCTATAACAATCAAATCCAAGGTTATGAAATAGACCGAACAACTAGAGTATTCATTAGAAAACAATTGCAACTAAAATTTTTTAAAATTGTATAAACGTTACAAATGTGAATAGACTAATATTAAGTTAAATTTTCACCTTTTCACTAGTTTTATTATCTATAGAACGATTATTGATGTCAGATATAATTTTTATTGTCTTACGTGTCTAAAAAAATAAAATGTAAAGTATTAAATTAAAAAATAATTATACGTAGGGCTAGGATTTTAATGCTCCAAATAGTTTTAATTTTTTTTTTTTTTTTTATTGTTACAGCATCAACATTATGGTTATTAGCTTATAAGATTATATAGTTATGTACATAAGGGGGTTTTCACAATGGTGTTTAAGGGGAAAAGTTTTAATTGTAATCGTATAAATATGTAGTCAACATTTAAACTAAAAACCTTTTTTATATACGAATGAAAATGAAACACATTTTTAAAAATTTTAAAAGTAACGGTGTCACGGTACTTCATACAATTATGCTAACAACAGTGTGAAATGTATTCTTAATTCTTTTGAGGTACGAGTGGCATGTGCTGTTATAAAAATAATGCAATATTTGAGATAACATACGAAAAACTGAGATATCTAAGTGCAGTAATACACCCGTTGTTTTGTCGTCGCGTGCGCCTCGAAGAGATCGTACACATCAGTAGCCCAATGATTCCCAACTCAACACTAGGGGACCACTACTATACTACTACACTATAATAATAAATAATATTATTATCCCTCTCCTCCCCCCGGAACACTTATTTTTTTTCTACTTTT